TGCAAAACCTAGCAGACTTTCTTCTTCAAAGGGAGCTCCTAAATTGACCATGCAGATTCATGATTTTTCAAGAATTTCTACCTTCAGGACATGGAGATCAAACTTACTGTAAACACAACTATAGGTGAGCTGATTTACAAAAATTCATTTTAGACTGTACTTTGGATGCGTTATGTGTAAGAAGAGCAGGCGATGTCATTGTATTTTTACCTATTTTAAGTTCACATATGCAATTTTTCCGAGCTAAAAAATCTCACAGAGCTCCCGCAAGTACCACACCACGTACAAACACAAACAACATGCAATACAACTACCTTCACAGCATTATTCCGATCTAAAAACTTGAAAAACAAATAGACTAGGGTTTGGAGGTGCAATTAGGAAGACATACAGGCTGAGCGGGCAGCACCTTAAGCTGTTGAATAAGATTTTAAAATATGATGTGTTATTTTCTTAATAGTAAAGTTCACAGCTAGCATGACCATCCATTGATTATTTCGCACTATTGCACCTAACCCCACACCTTTCTTCTTGATAGCAGCATCTGTGTTGATTTTTACTTTCCCTGCTGTAGGAGCTGTCTTGAGAATATGAATACCATCAGTCAGCATAATCGAACTAGATGGCTGTTTATAGTTTTCCATCTGATAATCAAGAAGGAAATTTAGGGATGGGGAGATGGGAGTTTCCTACCACGTTGTTGAAAAATAGTTCATTTCTAGACCTCCACAGAGCCCATAGTATTAACACAGAATTGCTCTAATATATCCTTATCAACTGACTTCTGCAGACCTATTACTCATGACTTAAAGAGGAAACTTGAATATCATCACAACGTAGAGATGCAGGGGACAGAACAAAATGCTTCCAACCACAATCCTTGAGCACATGTATATTATCCTCGCAGCCACATCTGACACAGGATACATCATCAATCCGCACTCGTTTAGCAAGGTTTGATCTTGTAGTTAGGCCTTCTTTATAAGCACGCCACACAAAATTGATAAACCTTCGGAGGAATAGTGAGTTTCTAAAAAGGTCTTCCACCGGTCCTCTCCATCTCGTCACTGGAAGTACGCACCTGGTATCCACTCTTGGCACCATTTTCCATCCCTAGAATAATGCCATATCAACTTATCCTCAGGAAGCTTCCAACTAATAGGCATGTCTGATCTGTTCCAGTTCAAAGGGGTAGATAGTCCAATTGAGGAGTCCATGATAGTCCAATTGAGGAGTCCAACATTCTATGAGCGACTATCAGTATCCATTAGCTGATGAACAGTGGCACTTGCATCAGGGTTCATAAATGGAGACCACACTCAAAAACCATGATGTGGCAGTAGCCACTTGTCTTTCCAGATTCTACCACCACCATCCACCTGGTTCTATCCTCAAAAGCTCACGGCTCTCCACTATACCACGCCATGTATAACTAGGATTATAGCCCTAACCAACATGCCAAAAATTTGACAGAGGAAAATACCTTGCATTAAGAATTCTAGCCAACAAAGAATCAGGAAACTTATGCAGCCACCAACCCTGTTTGGATAAAGGAGCTCTACTGAAGCAACATCAACTTTCTAAAACCCAAACCTCCTAACTTGTTTCTGCATATTTTGTCCCAAGCCGTCAAGCAGATCTTTCTCTCATGTTCTGCACATAGTAGGAAGAGGTATGTAGAAAGCGGGCCCCCCTTCTTCAGTCCTCTCTCAGGATAAAGAGTCTTCCCTGGAATTCCATTAATGAGAATAGAGTATGAAGCTGTGGTCACACCTCGCCTTACTAGATCGACCCCATTGTGATTGAATCCCATCTTCAGTATAAGACCCCGCAGAAAAGACCATTCAACCTTGTCATATGCTTTACACTTGTCCAGTTTCAGACTCGTAAATCCTTGACGGCCTCTCCTCCTTCTCATTCTGTGAAAAGACTTAAAATCTATCAAAGAATTATCAGTAACTTTGAGTTTCATGAATTATCTCCGGCAAAATTAATTTCAATCTATTAGCTATCATCTTTGCAATCTGTTTAAAAACTAGGTTACTCAAGCTACTTGGTCGAAATTGAGCGCGTGATTCTTGGTTATTAACCTTAGGAAACAAAAAAATAGGAGCATAGTTAATAGCAGTAGGATCCTCTCCATTATTAAGAATACTCAAAGCATAATCACAAACCTCAGACCCCACCACAATCCGTTGAGATACCTTTCCATAAAAGTAAGGTGTGTTCTTGTCTCCTTTCTTCATCCATGAAGACCCAGACCGTTGTGCCCACATAATTTCCTCCTTTTTAAGTAATCATCCATCTCTTCTTACAGATCTGTCGCTGCTTTAAGAGTCTCGTCCGGGGGAGGCAAATACTGTAGCCTATCAAGTTCTTTCCTGTACTCCTTCAGAGCCCTGGCCATATGGCCGAACGTATTTCCAACTCCATTGTCGCAGTTCATTCCCACATGCTTCTATTCTATTGGCAAAGGAAAAATTCTGCCAATCCAAAGACAGATTCAACCGCACTCTCTGAATTGTTTATGAACAAGCTGGGTCACGCAGCCACGTCGCCTCAAAAAGAAAAGGGCGCTTCCTGCCATTTTCATTAGAGCCAATAATTTTTAGGTTCAAATGAATAAGACAATGTTACGAGGAAGGTGTGTAAGAGAGGCACCAGGAAACAAATTCCTCCTTTGGAAATTCACAACACATCCGATTATTTATCCATGTATATTAGTTACCAAAAAACCAATATCCTGAAGACTACAATCATTCAAAGCTTGATTGAATGTTTGCATGAGTGCAAAATCTCTTGGCAAACCACCCTGCTTCGTATGGGAGTTAAGAACTTCATTAAATTCACCAATACAACACCATGAGAGATCATTCTAAGGCTTCAAATCTCGTAATAACTTCCAAGTTCCTTCCTTCTCTGAAATCTCTGGTCAGCCAGACACTATTGCAAACCTCCACTTGTGATCTGATAATGAATCACGGTAGTAGATCTCAGTATCAATGTAGTGTACAGATAGTAAAGCCAACCCACCATTTCTCCCATTGCCTTCCCTCTCACAATCTACAACCAAGCAACTTTTGAGCCCCATACGTTCATTAACCTTCTGAAATTCATGTTTTTTTTTTTTTGAGTCCAGTTTCCATCAGGAAAACTAGATTGGGAGCTTCAAGCTGGATAAACTCGTGCAATCTGTTAACTGCTTGAAGGTTACCAGGCCCTCGCAGTTCCAAACCAAAGCTATCATAGCTCTAGGCCTCTCTTCCACTAGAACGAATCAACTTCAGTTATAATTATATAATCTCTCATTCGTTTCTATCGGAAAGGCTCCATCCCCATGACTGCTATCTTTACCAACTCACCCTTACGCTTCCCCATATTAAAACTCGCCCCACCAATACCACCGGCCCCATGTTAAAACTCCCTCCTCACCGTCTGTCAATTTTCCTTCAGTTCTCTGTTGACGCTTACAAGTTTTAGAAGAGTAAACAAGACTCTCTTTTTTTCTCAGGGTTTTTAGCATGCGGTAGTTTGAATAGGGTGTGTTTAGGTTGCAGGCTGGGTTTGATAAAGAGATTCTTCTCCAACTGATAAGCTTCTCCAGGGCGGGCGCCACACATTCTTGATTGTGTTCGTACGTAAATGCTTGAGCACTAAAAGGACGGTCCCTAACCAGCCTTGCAACTAAACGCCATATTGGAGGTATCCATTGATTCGCATCAATGCCATCACAATCTCTTCCTCCTCCATTATTTACTCCCTCTTGTCTACACCATCTGAAGTTCTGAACTAGTAGCCATTTATAGTGAAAAGAAGACGAGTAGCCTTTATTTATTGAAAGGGAGATTCTCACACTGATAAATAATTTATTTATCCTCAGTCTATCTTACACGTTGACAAAGGTTAAATCGCTCTTTCATACCTTTTTAAAAGCACCCCTTTATACTTCGAACTTATATTTATTAAACAAGAGAATTGAATTTATATTTATCAAATAAACATGTTTTGATTTTTGACAATTAAATTAATTGGTTTAATTTTTAAACCATATAAAATATTTTTAAATGAACTTAAAGTAAACATTATGGGCAGTTGAATTATCTTTCAAATTAGTTAGGATAAATATATAACTCTTAAAAATAATCATTACTGACAAATCTTGACTCACACATTATATTATTATTATTATTATTATTATTATTATTATTATTATGAATCCTTGTTATTTTAATAGTTCTTTTCAATTATATTATATGTAACATAGATATAAATCATAAATACATACATAAACAAATAAAAATTGCATAGATTATTTTTTAAAATCGTCACTATTTCTCCGATTCGTTGGAGTAAAATATAATGCAAGACAATATCAAAATAATAATAATAATAATAATAATAATTCATAAATTTTGATATAATTTAATTATTTTTAATTTTAATACTTTATATTTCTTATTAATTTATATCTGAACATTTTTAGAATTCTAATATTTAATAAAATAAGGTTTTACAAGTTCGTTTTACTGAAATCTATTTGGAATTGGCAAGAACAAGATCCATCTTCTAAACTACTAATGAAAGGATCTCATAATTAACCATGAACAAAGTGAATGTCAATTACACCATCTCGAAAGTATTCAGTCATCAAGTATTTCTATAATTTTTTGTTAACATTTTTTCCCCCTTAATTAGGCTCTTCTTTATAGGAATCAAATAGAACCACCAAATCATGCAAAATTCAAAGTTTTATACAATACGGGTTTTGATAGCAAAAAACAAAAAATACATAGCTCCAGCAAAGAAAAAAAACCTAAAATATAGGAAACTAAGAATATATATTTTTTCTGAAGAAAACAAAGGTGGGAATTAGTATTAAAATATATATATATATATATATATATATATATATATATATATATTTTCTGAAGAAAGGTGGGAATGATTGTCTGAAGAAAACAAACGAGAATATTTTTTCGGAATTAAATATTTTCAACTTATCAAAAACAAAATATCAATTAATATTATCCACTTGCGGAGAAAAAAATTCGAAGTTGTGGCTTCTCTCCGCCCTGCTCAAACTCAAAGCCAGCCATGGAGAATTGTTGCAGCTTCATGAAATTGGACTTAGCATCTTCTATAACCAAACCCGCTCTATTCAAAACCACCAACACCTTCTTCTCCTCTTTAAATGATGAAAAACTACCCTCCACAACTCTCAAAACCCCCCTTTCAGTGTCAACCCACAGACATAAAACAGCAGCCACTCAAATCTTTAAAACCTGTAAGTACCCATGTCTTTAGTTGTCAATTCGAGAAGAAATGCCCATTCAAAATCTTAACTTGGATTTAGATTTTTAATATTTCTTATTTATCTTTTGTGTCAGGTTTGAAAGCAAATAGTAGCATAGCAAATGCTGAAGTGCCTGTGGAAGTGGAAGTTGCAGAAGGGTACAGCATGAACCGATTTTGTGATAAGGTAATTGATGTGTTTTTGAATGAGAAGCCTAGGGTTAAGGAATGGAGAAAGTATTTGGTGTTCAGGGAAGAGTGGAATAAGTACAAGGAAAGTTTCTACACTAGGTGCAAAACAAGAGCAGATAGAGAGACTGATCCAACTATGAAGCAAAGGTTAATTTCACTTGCCTCTAAAGTTAACAAGGTAAAATAATGATGCATCTATCATTTTTACCTCTTGTCCCTGTTACTTGGAAAAATTTAGTAAAACAAAGGAAATTGATATGTGTTATTATTTTTTTTGTTCTTGATTTGTTTCCCAGGATTGTTGTTTCCTACTTGGTGTGTTTTGATAATAAAATATTCTGAATTTTAGGGGGAAAAGAAGATTTTTATGTTTTTGTGTCTTAAAAAGAGAAATATACAATTGGGAAACCTGGTTTCGCTTCTGTTTCTATCTGATTTCTTTTAAATGAGTGTATAACAGGTTAAGAGTTGGATAAATGTATATATTATATACTCCTTTGGGTTAGAGACTCTTTGGATTGTGGTGTACTAAGGCATAAACATTGCAGATTGATAAAGATATGGAAAAACATGATAAACTTCTCAAGGAGATTCAAGATAACCCAACTGACCTCAATGCAATTGTTGCAAAACGGCGCAAGGATTTTACTGGGGACTTCTTTCGTTACCTTGCTCTTCTTTCTGAAACTTATGACACCTTGGAGGACCGTGATGGTAATTACAAGAGCACTTGGGATGTGTATTATTTTGATGGATTGTGCACATTTTTTTACTCTAAATTGCATGGTTCATGGGAACCCCTTTTTTGCTAGGATAGTTTGATCATATGCTAACAGAACTCTTCTATATGCACATAAATACTGAAATGTTGGTCATTTTGAGGATGCTATTGTTAGCCTATATGTTTTTAGAGTAAATAGAGACGCCGTTATTTACCAGAGAATGAGGCCTAGCTTGAATTTGTTTTGAATGTAATCACAAATTAATGCAACGAGTTAGAATAGTAACCAAAATAATCTGAACTATATCCGCCTATATCACTCTGTTATACTAAAGTCATTCAGAATAATCCCAATCTGACTGCCTTACTTGTCCGTTTGCTGTGAGAATGATTAAAAAATAAAGTGAATGCATCATGCTTTTATTTTTTGTTTTATGTTTTCTAATATAATTTGTTTTTTTTTTTCATGAATTGAGAGAATGGATTAATTAATGAAATGACATATCCTGGAGTTGTTCAGAGATGCAAAACCAAATAACTAAGAATTATGGATGTTCCAAAGTAAAGAGTACATAGAATGATAGAACATTTTGTACAAAAGGTAAAGGTTATAGCACCTTGACAAGCATAATAATGGGCTTATAATATGTGAACCAGAGTGGAAATCATGCGTAAATGCCTGCCAAGATTTGTTTGAGGTCTTATGATTAGAATAATGAGCTCATGTTTCTTGCTTGAAGTCAACCATCTAATGTTATTGTCTGGTGATTTGAACAGGAGTAGCTAGGCTAGTGGCTAAGTGCATGTCTGCTGTCAGTGCTTTTGATAATACATTGGAGAGTTTGGAGACATTAGATGCTGCCCAGGCCAAATTTGATGATATCCTTAACTCTTCTTCAGTGGATGCAGCATGTGAAAAGATCAAAAGCCTAGCCAAGGCAAAGGAACTTGACTCTTCCTTGATCCTATTAATAAATAGTGCTTGGGCGGCAGCAAAAGAATCCGCTAGTGTGAAAAATGAGGTAAAATCTTTGTGAATCTTGTATTGAGGATCTTTTGCGTAACTACTTAGAATTGTATATTTCCAGAAGAAGATGGATAAGAAACTGAACTAATTAAATCATGTTTGTATTTTTTATTTGATGATGAAGGTATCTGGGCAATTGGGCTCGACTAATTCTCTGGATACATGCAAACTGGTCTATCCACATGTACCTGGTAAATCATGGACCAAAGTCCACTGACATGATATAAAAATGGAATTGCCACCTGGCAGTGGTGGGAAGCAAACCTAAGACATGTGCCTAATCCACACAACCCAAGCAAGCCCTAACCAATAGCCAACCCTATAGGGTTAATCCTGTTTGCAATTTCAGTATCTTCAAACAATATTTTCTCTTTTTGTGGCCTCTACTGAGTGTTATGCTTGCGTGCTAACTATCATGGATTATTATGTGTAGTCTAGAACTATTGAAGCATTAAATGACACAGAATAAGAGTGCTGCATTTCCGTGACTTGCCAAAATTAGTTCAGTTTAGGGAATCTGGAATTCATGAAGAATCTGTGCTGAACCAATTCTAAATTCAGATAATATCCTAGGTTTTGAAATGAAAATAAATTCTGCACGTCCTATTGATGATCTGATTGCTCGACTCTTTCTTTAGTGATGCATTCTAAACCTTAATTAATGAAGTGTCAGTTTTCCTGCAAGCTCCTTTTGTTATTCACTTCTTGAGAACTGGCTGACATAAACACTTATGTGCTACACTAGCCACTGTCGGCTTAATGCCTTGGACTCTGATTTCAGGTGAAGGATATAATGTATAGTTTATACAAAGCCATGAAGAGCAGTCTTAGGAGCATTGCCCCAAAAGAAATAAAGCTCCTCAAGCACTTGCTGAACATCGCAGATCCTGAAGAGCGATTCTCAGCGTTGGCAATAGCATTCTCTCCAGGTGATGACCATGAAGCCAAGGATCCTTATGCTTTGTACTCGTAAGAGCTTCATATTCTCTTGTGATTCAAGAGATTCAGTTATTGGTTTAATGTATAACATCCTTTAACACCTCTTTGTTGCTGTGTAGGACTCCCAAGGAGCTGCACAAATGGATTAAGATAATGCTCGATGCATACCATCTCAATAAGGAGGACACTGACATTAAGGAAGCCAAGCAGATGTCTCAGCCCGTAATTATACAAAGGCTGTTCATTCTAAAAGAAACCATTGAAGAAGAATACTTGGAAAAGACAACATTTCAGACGCAACCAGAAGGGGACACTAAACCAGAGGACTAGTGACGTACAGTCCAGTTTTATCAACACCTCTAGCATATTCTTTCTACATTGTGACAAATTTAGAGCTTCCAAGATGAAGCCTCGAGCTGCAAATTGTGAGGCTAATTTCTGCTTCTGTTCTGTACTGGAGCTGCTGGGAGAACTGAGAAGAGACTTTGTGTGTAGCTCCCTGCAGTGTGAGAGGATTATATGACTTGACAGTATTATTCTTCTCTCTTTGGGGACTGACGACCTGTTTCCTTTTGATAAATTTGTTTATTTAAAATGTTAAGTACATTTATTTTGGCGAAAAGAAAAGAAGAAGGATTTTCAAATCTTTTGTCGATGGTTAAATATGACCAAGATTGTTCCAGTAAATGTTTGTCATGTGTCCACCACAAGAATTAGAGGAACACCACTACACACACAAGCTTCTGACATGTTTCGAGTGAGAATAATTGGAAAGAAACCTATGTATAGTAATGAAAGGATACTATCAAGATTCCCACTTTTATTTCAGGGACTATCGGCCTTGAATTATTTAAGAATGATCTATGCTAGGACCAGAATTCAAAGGGGGTGTCACATTTCACAAATAACTAGTATCCTATAAAAGAAATTGACTTGGATGCTTTCTTGAGTGAAGATTACTCTCCAATATAGATGCAGATTTCACTCTAGCTTCATCACAAGATTGCTTCTCAAACAAAAAATGCAAGGCACGATCACAAGAATTGTGGAAATGACCATTCTTGTCGCTGTGTAAAGATTGAGAAGCGTGATTGATACTATGTAGTTTGGATTCCTTACAAGTACAAACCGAAAACGAACAAGAAAAGGAGCTTACGAGGTGCTTGTCCAAGGTGGTCATACCCGTGGAGATGGAAGAGAATGGTGGGAAGAAAGAAAGAAAACTTGTATATTTTTTTTAACATGGTATTAACGGTTTCTTATTAGGATATTTTAGAAATTAAATATATAAATTTACATGGTTCGATAACTTGTCTACTCCATGAAGTTATTGATTTATATTAATCTATAAAAAAAGCAATATAAACAAAAAGAAGAAGAAAACTCTTCTTTACTCAACTCACTTTTACTCAAGCTCTCTCTATCTTCTTTTCTCTATATTCTCTACACACGCAGCTCTTCACTGAATACATATATACGCACTAAGCTGAGAGCAAAAGTCATAAATCATGCCATGATTTATCCCTTAAATTAAACCTCCACCATGTGCTAAATGGGAGATTAGTTATTCCCACTTGCATATGATGGAGGTGAGACATTGTTTATCTCCACTTTGCTAACAATCTTTCACTTGGAGATAAATAATAAAATTATCTTTTATTTTGTTAACAATCTCTCACTTGGAGACAAACAAAGAAATTATCTTTTATTCTTGAAGACCAAATAAAGTTTTACATAATTTCACTTTATCAAGTGTAACTCGTTTAGTTAACATGTCAACTAGATTCTTACTTTCATAGACCTTTTCTAGCATTAGTTGCTCATCATCTAGCAATTGTCAGATGAAGTGGTATTTGATATGAATATACTTAGTCCTGGAGTGAAATGCTGGATTTTTAGCAAGGAAGATTGCACTATAACTATTGTTATACAAAGTATCATTTCCATTCATCTTGCCTAATTCTTTTAAGAAACTCTATAGCCATATTATCTCTTTTATAAATTCTAAGACTGCAACATATTCAGTTTCTATTGTTGAAAGAGCGACAATCTTTTACAAGTTAAAAGTTTAGAAAACAGTAGTGTCGCCTAGAGTCTATACATATCTTGTAATGCTTTTTCTATTATCAACATCTCCTACTAGATTAGCATCTACAAAACCTTCAAGTTTCAAACCACCAGCTGTGAAAGTAAGACAAGTATTTAAGGAATCTTTTAAGTATCTTATGATCCATTTTACCGCCTTCTAATGTTGTTTTCCAAGATTGCTCATATTTCGGCTTACAACTTCCACTGCATGGGCAATGTCTGGTCTGATACAGACCATAGCATACATCAAAGAGCCAATAACTAAGGCATATGAAATTTTATCCATATATCCACATTCTAGCTCAGTTTTTAACGACTGGTTTTTATTGAGCTTGAAATGATTCTCTAAAAGTGTATTTATTGGTTTAACATTATCCATATTAAACTTGTTGACAACCTTTTTAACATACTCTATTTGTGAAAGCTTTAATATGTCTTTGTCTTTATTTCTAATGATTCTCATGTCAAGTATTTGTTTAGCAACTCTCAAATCCTTCATTTCAAACTATTTTGACAACTGTTATTTCAACTTGTTAATCTCTTCAATGCTGGATCCTACAATCAACATATCATCTACATATAATAGTAGAATGATGTAAAAGTTGTCAAAATATTTGACATAGCAACAATGATTAGTTTGACATCTTGTGTATCCTAAACTACACATGAAGTTGTCAAACTTTTTGTACTACTATTTTGGAGCTTACTTCAAACCGTATAGGCTTTTCTTTAGCTTGCAGACTTTGTTCTCCTTTCTTTGTATTGCAAACCCCTCCGGTTGTTGCATATAAATGTCTTCCTCTAAGTCATCATGAAAAAATGCTATGTTTTTTGCATATAATTTTTTTGCAACTACTATCTCTAGAACAACTTTGATTGTTATGAGCTTTACAACTAGAGAAAATATCTTAGAGTAATCAATCTCTTTCTTTTGTTGAAATTCTTTTACAACAAGTCTTATCTTGAACCGTTTGGTTCCATCATATTCAATCTTTACTTTGTAAACCCACTTGTTTTGCAATGTTTTCTTTCCTTCAGGTAGTGTGCTTAGCTTTCAAGTCTTGTTTTTCAATAAAGAATTCATCTCATTCTTCATGACTAACTCCAACTTACTTGAGTTTTCATCTTGTAATGATTCTTTATAAGTTTGCAGTTCACTACCATCTATCAACAAAATACAATTCAGTAAAAGTATGAACCGTAGTGGACCTTTACAGTCATTGAAGATCTGTGAACATAAACATTGGTAACATCATAAAGCCCTTTTAAAGACTTTTGATCTTTGTTCTACTCGGTAACATCATAAAGCCCTTTTAATCTTATGAATTCAGATTTTTGTTGACTTATATCTAAATCAGTCATATCTATTTTTACACTTGATTTGTCTTTATACAAAAATTTCTTATTGAAGATCACATTCTTGCTTCTAATAATCTTTTTATTATGATCATCCTAGAACCGAAATTCAAATTCTTCATCTTTATAACTAATAAAGAAATATTTCTTAAATTTGACATCTAGTTTGTTACAAGCATCAGAATCTATACGAATATATAAAACACACCAAAAAACCTTTAGGTAAGAGAGTTGTACTTCTTTTCCACTCCATACTTCCTTGGACAATCTAAACTTCAAAGGGATTGATAATTCATATTTGATGAGGTAAATTGCAATATGAACTATGTCGGCCCAAAATGTTTGAGGTAATCCTAAATGCAACCTCATGCTTTTAGCTCGTTCATTGATGATCATATTCATCCATTCAACAATTATATTCTATTGTGGTATGCTTAGAACAGTCTTTTCCATTCTGATATCATTGACAACGCAATAATTTTTAAAACCTCCATTAATGTATTCTCCTTTACTATTAGATTTCAAGCATTTCAGCTTCAAACCCAATTCAATCTCAACCATAGCCTTCCATTTCTTGAATGTTTCAAACACATTAAATTTATTTTTTAGAAAGTAAACTCATATTTTCCTACTGAAATCGTCAATAAAAGTCACATAATACCAAAAACCTCCAAGGGATGCCACTAGAGAAGGTCCCTATAAATATGTGTGTATCAATTCTAGCTTTCTTGGTCTTAAGGTCTTGCCAATCTTTAAGAAATTGAGCTTTTTTTGTTTTTCAATAATACAACTTTCACAAATGTCTAGATCAATAATTTTTTAACTCAAATAACTCTCCCTTTGATTGAAGTATCTTCATCTTCTTTTGACTTATATGGCTGAATCTACAGTGCTATAGTTGTTCTTGATTTTTTACTTCAGTAGAGGTAATAATGCCTGCAAATCTTATGGTCATATACAAAGTACCGGTTTTCTTTCCACAAGTCAAAACAATTGCTCCTTTTGATATTGTCCATAAATCTACAGAAAAAAAAAGGATTGAATAACCATTATTGTCAAGTTGTTCAACAGAGATTAGCTTTTTCTTTAATCTAAGAACATGTCTTACATTTTATAAGTTCCATATAGATCTATTCATTGTCTTGATTTGCTCATCTCCTATGCCTACGATATTCATTGGTTGTCCATCAGCCAAATAGACTACAACGTGATCACCAACGACATAGTTTTGCATCATTTCATGTTATGGTGTACAGTGAAATGAAGCACCATAATCAAGAATCCAATTATCAATTGGACTTTGTACAATAAGAATTAGAGCATCTTGTACCTTATTTGTGGTAGCATTCGAAGAGTCAACTTCAGGTTTTTTTAGTTTTGTGCAATTCATCATATAATGACCAAGTTTGCCATAATTCCAACTTTCAACCTGCTTTCTGAGTCCAGACTTGCTTTTACTTCTAGATCTTAATTTTGATATGCCTTTGGATAAGCCTCTATTTTGTCTCCTTTCTCGAGTGTTAATGTTGAGAGTTAAACCTGAACTTGAACTTTTATCTAAGTATTTTCTTTGTATTTTTTCAGCCAAAATCAAATCTCGAATATCATCATATTTTAGTTTAGATTTTCCTACTGAATTACCTACGGTTGTTCTCATACCTTCCCAACTGTTTGGAACTAAAGTTAGCAAAATGAGTGCATGAATCTCATCATCAAACTCAATCTCAATAGATGACGATTGATTTATGATGGTATTGAAGTTGTTGAGATGTTGTGTAACAAAGGTGTTTTCTATCATCTTCAAGTTAAACAACTTCTTCATCAAGTACACTTTATTATTTGCTAAAGACTTCTTGTACATCCCAAACAAGGCTTCCATTAATCTTACAGTGGATTTTTTATATATATATATAACATTGTGAGCAACATTTTTTAATAAGGATAGCTAGATAATGCCCAAAACCTGTCTATCAAGAATTAACCAATATTCTTCTTGTATATTCTTTAGTTTGCTCCCCAATAAAAAAAAAAAATGAAGCTTCTTTCTATATAAATAGTCTTCAATTTATATTTTTTTAATATCTCAAATTTGTCCCATCAAATTTTTCAATTCTAGCATCTTTTATTTCATCTGTCATTTTTACTAACTTTAGAGTTAGAATTTGCTTTTATTTCATCAAATTTTCCTTATATAAAAATATCAATACAAAAAATCTCATCAAAATATTTTAATATCTA